TTGATGTTTCTGTCTCTCTCTCCTTCCCTCTCCCTTTTAATTAAAAAAAAAATTGAAAATACAATAAATACTATGATCAAGCAACCTCCAATGTACTGTATGTCTAGCAATTATAAAATTAATTATCTTTCATTGGCTTATATGTGCATTAAAATGTTTTTATAACTAAAATGGAGCAGTGGAATTTATTCCTTCACCGTGAAGGAATGTGCTTCTTTTGTTTTGCTGCACAAATGCTCAGTTCTGGTTTGGATTTAAGCACACATGGATTTTATTTTCAAACGAAACGAGATGATTTTTGTCTTTGTTCTTATTACATATTAAATAAGAAAAAGCTTCCTGCCCTGGCCGGTTTTGCTCGGCGGTTAGAGCGTTGGCCTGCGGACCAGAGAGTCCCGTGTTCGGTTCCCACTAAGGGCATGTACCTCGGTTGCAGTTTGTCCCCTGCCCAGGTTGGGGTCGTGTGGGTTGCAGCCAGTTGATATGTCTCTTTCACATTGATGTTTCTCTCTCTCTCCCTCCCACTATATCTGAAGATAAAAATGCAAAAAGGAAAGAAAAAGCTTCTTCACATATATAAGAAGTTGGCAAATGCCAACAAAATGTTCATTATTTATTGCAGGGTACTTCTCTTTCACAGAAATCTAGAATTTATCTGGGGGCAGATCAGTAAATCTTATCCTGAATATACTATCATACTACACTTGACTGAATTCTTTTTTATCATTCAAAATCAAGTTCTCAGGCTGAACAGAAAATTCAGAGAAAGGATCCCTTACCCATTCATATATTTGAATTGAAAGGGAGACAATATTACTGTTAAATTTTGTTCTGCAGTGTTCCCAGGTGGTTTTCAATAAAACTTGAAACTTACTGATAATCTTTCTCACTCTGAGCCTAAACTACAGTGTAAACACTTTTTTTAAATTTATTTTTCTTTCTTCTTTTTTTTTTAGAGAGGAAGGGAGAGGGAGAGAGAGAAACATCGATGAGAGAGAACATCAATTGGCTGTCTCCTGCATGCCCCCACTGGGGATGTGGCTCACAACCTGGGCATGTGGCCTGATAGGGAATCAAACTGGCAACCTCTTGGTGCATGAGTCGACGCTTAACCCCTGAGCTACACCGGCCAGGCTGCAGCGAAAACATTTTTAAGATTTCCTTTTGTAATAGATTTTCCCCCCAAAGGTTGTTTCCTCTTAAATCCACATATTTATCATTAATTTTTCATTTTTCTTACTTAGAAAATGACAAGAATATTTTACATACTGTAGTAAGAACGAATAAATTTAAAATTAGTGTTTTTAAATTCTGAATACCTATCCTAGAGTTAAGAACCAAACTAGCTGGTTCAGATTCTGGTTCTATTTAGACAATTGTGCTCCTGGAGTGATTTGGAATCTTTTTCCTTGTTTTTTGACATTATTCTTGTTTTAGTTTGCTAACATGTTAGGCTAACTGCCAATTTGAGGACTTTTCTTTTGGTTTTTTGTTCTCACATTGATTGTGTCTTGAGGGTGCTGGGGGATGTGTCAAATTGCTATTGCAGGCTTTCCTTTGTATGTATCCATGATATCTGCCCACTTTGCATGGAATGGAAAATACTATAAAATCGTAAGCTGAAGGTGCCTTTTTTGAGGTTCTGGCATTCATGCTATGACAAACTGTTAAACATGTGCAATTCTTATTTATTTATTCATTTATGTTACAGATGTCCCTCCTTTTTCCCCCATTGACACCATCTCCCCTTCAAAGTATTGCTGTCTGTGTCCATTGGTTATGGATATATGCATATAAGTTCTTTGGTTTATCTCTTCCTGCCCTCCCACCCCCATCCTTCTGAGATTTGTCAATCTATTCCCTACATTAATGTCTCTGGGCATATGCAGTTCTTTATCACAGCATTCCTTAGCACTATAATTTATGTATCCTTTCTTGGTTTAGATTAAGAACTTTAAGTGTAATCCCTCTACAGGCCAGGAAACAGTGGTTAAGGTCCTTTCCTGCCTCATAATTCCAGAACCTTTAATGTCACTGCTGTACTAACAACTTCCTGATCTAAATCTTCCTTTTATTAAATCAAGAAAAGCATTCCTTTTACCTAGTAGAAATGGAATTTTAGTTAAATTTTAACTCCTTTTCAACTGAGGTTAAAACAAAAAGCAGAAAGTAATTTTGACAGAATGTTTTTTAATTTAACAAGATTCTATGATGGCATCTACAGGGACTGTTTTTAAACTTTTAAGTAGGGAAGGATAGTGAATTCAAAAGTACTTGCATTTTATCTCTAGCTGAGTTAACACCCTTTTAAAACATTTTTAGTATCATATAATATTAAACCTGGAAAGGAACTTTGAATAGGAAACTGGAGACCAGTGGACATTAATGATTTGCTATATTAATTAGTAGCTCAGTCAGTACTTAGCTGCATGTTAGTACAATTAATTTTAGGAATTGTCACAACCAGACCAAGATGTGATTCATAGTTGATCCACTCATTGATTGAAGTTTTATCCAAAATTCTAATGGCTATTCTCAAAAGCTAATCTAAAATATAGATTAAAATTCAGCTGTTTTTTTTTTTTCACCAGAAAAGACATGTCTGTGTTAAGAATGTTTTGGTTTGTTGTTGCCAAAATTATTTCTAAAGTACCACTCCAGTCATGTGGCGTCTAGTTAACAACATTGATGATTGTTTACTAGTGCATACTGTCTGGTCCCATAGATGTGTTTTTTCTTCTTAACTCCTGTATGACCTCAAACAAGTCCTTTACTCTTTTTTTTTTCCTAACCAGCCACCATGAAGACTATGAATGGAATTTATTTTGTAATGTGAATTTCTTTACCTGTTTTTAGATCTGACCTAAAAAAACCTTTTCTTTGCCAAAACTAAAGATGAATGACATAATTACATAAAGAAAAGAGTTAGCTGAACTCTTACTAGTCAGATTTATACAGAACTAATCATTAACATATGAAGCACTTAGTGTAGATATTTGGTGATTTAAATGAAAGAATGTATGAATAAATACATTTATAAAAGTAGAGAGAAGTATCTATAATTTTCCTTTAGCCAATAAGTTATGTCTAATGGTATACAGTGATACCTCGGTTCTCGAACATAATTCATTCCAGGAGGACGGTCGAGAACCGAATTGTTTGAGAACCGAAGCAATGAAACCCAATAGGAAATAATGGAAACTGGATTAATTCGTTCCAGGCCCCAGAAAATGCCTATTTACTGGCCTAATTTGTATATAATATGTAGAAAAACATAAGTCTCAACAAGAAATAAAAGTGTACAGTATGTCTAAGGGTTAAATTCAGTGTAAAGCGTGACTCTCTCCACAAAGCGTGACTCTCTCTCTGCACTCACACTGATGATGCAAGCAAGGCGCGCTGGGCCGAATGAACGCCATTCGTCTCAACTTGGCTCATCTCGGAAGTTCGAGTTCCAAATATTTGTTCGGATTCCGAGACAAAAGTTTCTCGAATCTCCTGGTCGAATACCGATTTGGTCGAAAACCGAGGCGTTCGAGAACCGAGGTATCACTGTATTTATATACATATATAATGCCTTTAAAAAAAAATTATTTAGTGCCCTGGCCGGTTTGGCTCAGCAGTTAGAGCTTCGGCCTGCAGTCCAGAGAGACCTGGGTTCGGTTCTTGGTAAGGGCATTTACCTTGGTTGCAGTTTGTCCCCGGCCCTGGTTGGGTCGTGCGGGTGGCAACCACTCAATGTGTCCCTTTCATGTCAATGTTTCTCTCTCTCTCTGTCCCCCTCCCACTCTATCTGAACAAAAAATGGGAAAATGTCCTCGGGTGAGGATAAAAAAAATAATAATTATTATTTAGTCACTTTGTTCTGAGGCACATAATGTACATAATAATGAATAATGATATCCTGTAATATATTTTGTATATATCTTCCATTTAAAATATAAAGTTATTCTGAAAGCAACAAATGAACAACTAAGAAAAACCAAGAAAAATTCATAGACACAGACAACAGTATGGTAGTTAACAGAGGAAAGAGGGTTTGGGGGATAATAAAGGTTAAAGTGGACCAAACATATGATGACAGAAGAATATTTGACTTTAGGTGGTGGCACACAATGTAATAATATACAATTGATGTATCATAGAATTGTAGACTTGAAACCTATATAATTTTATTAACCAATGTCACCTCAATAAATTTAATTTAAAAAATAAATAGGCCAGCTAGTGAGGCTCAGTAGCTGAGTGTTGACTCATGCACCAAGAGGTTGCTGGTTTGATTCCTGGTCAGGGCAAATGCCCAGGTTTCAGGCTCAATCCTCAGCATGGGGCATGCAGGAGGCAGTCAGTCAATACTGATGTTTCTCTTTCATTGACATTTCTTTCTCTTTCTTCTCCCTTCCTTTTTTCTCTAAAATCAATAAAAACCTATTAAATAAATAAATAAACTAATAAAACATAAGCATTGAAAAAAAATTAACTTATTGTTTTATTTATTTATTTATTTAATCCTCATGGGAGGACATTTTTGCATTCATCTTCCAATGGAGGAGGGAGAGAGGGAGGAAGAGAGAGAGAGAGAGAAACATCGATGTGAGAGACACATCCAGTGCTTGCCACCCACACGACCCCAACCAGGGCCAGGGAGGGACAAACCACAACTGAGGTACATACCCTTAGGGGGAACCAAACCCAGGACTCTCTGGTCTGCAGGCCGACGCTCTAACTGCTGAGCCAAACTGGCCAGGGCTGTTTTAAGTCTGGATTCTGGTACCAGTCTAGCTAATTAACTCTGAGACCTTTCATATGTCTTCATCTCTCTCATCTTTTATTTTCTTATTGTCAAATAAAATATGGTATTTAGATATCTGCAATTTTAAAATATAAAGATTGTATGCAATAGCAGGTCTTCAAATGATAATCATCTTAGTTTATGCTTATATTAGTTATGATTTACACATTTTACCTTGATTTATAGTTTTCTCCTTTTTTCTCCTAAGAGCTCAGTGGTTCAATATCAGCCCCAGATGTCAAATTGAACCTTGGTGGAGATTTTATCAAAGAATCTACAGCTACTACATTTCTGAGACAAAGAGGATATGGCTGGCTTTTGGAAGTTGAAGATGATGATCCTGAAGATAACAAGCCACTCTTGTATGTAAATATATGTATTTTTCTACTTTAGAGTTAATCTGTGCGATTATATTCTTTCATTGTTTTTAAAGATAAATATGGAAGATCTGAACCTTTTCTGTCAAAAGTTTTAGCTATTTTCAGTTTTACTAGTGATTAGAAAACTGAAATAATGAAGAGAATATTTTTAACCTATTATTATTATTTTTTTAATCCTCACCCGAGGACATTTTTCCATTTTTGTTCAGGTAGAGTGGGAGGGGGAGAGAGGAACAGAGAGAGAGAGAGAAACATCGATGTGAAAGGAACACATCGAGTGGCTGCCACCCGCACAACCGACCAGGGCCGGGGACAAACTGCAACCGAGGTACGCGCCCTTAGCGGGAACCGAACCCGGGTCTCTCAGGACCGCAGGCCGACGCTCTAACCGCTGAGCCAAACCGGCCAGGGCTATTTTTAACCTATTAAATGGCAAAAATTAAAGGTTGCAGGTTCAATTCCCAGTCAGGGCACATACCTAGGTTTTGGGTTTGATCCACATACCTAGTTTAGGGTGGGTATGGGAGGCAGCCAATCAGTAGTTCTCTTAAAAAAAAAATTTTTTTTAATCCTCACCCGAGGATATTTTTCTATGTATCATCAGATAGAGTGGGAGGGAGAGCGAGAAAGAGAGAGAGAGAAACATCAATGTGGGAGAGACACATTGACTGGTTGCCTTCTGCAGGACCCAATTAGGGCCGGGGATGAACTGCAACTAAGGTACGCAGCCTTGACCGGAATTGAACCTGAAACTCTGGTCCACGGGCCAACACTGTAACTGCTGAAGCAAACCAGCCAGGGCAATCGGGGTTCTCTTACATTGATGTTTCTCTCTCTCTCAAATCAATAAAAACATATCCTCAAGTGAGGATTAAAAAAATAAATATAAAAATTTTTTAAATGCAAAAATTAAGAGTCAATCTTCTCTCCTTTACACACACATTCTTCATACTGTTCGGGTTTACCTGGGTCTATAGTTATTTCAAGTAAACATGCACTCTAAAAAAGCAGAACACTTGGTTGCTTGTTGTGGAAATTTAGTTTAAGATAATTTAAGACTTCCAAAAAGATTATTACTTCCAAATCTCTCCCATATAGAAATTCTAAAGCTACCACTGAGGACTATAGAAAGACTTTTTTTTTTTTTTTTTTAAGTGTATGTTATCACTTGGAAAAAAAACTAAAGAATTTAACAATTTTAAAAAGAAACCTATAGCTTTGTAAAATTTTGAGGCATTACCAAATTTTCTCTGTAATTATTATTAGTAGATGAAGTGCTAAAATATCTTATTTCTGTGTTAATATATCATATTTCATCAAATCTAGATGCTATGGATTTAAGGTACAGTTATTTTACATTTATCAGTAAGAAAGAAGTGCTTAAGACAGTATAAAGCTAGGACATCAAAGGGCTATCTCCTTGGTGTAAGAATAAATGAGAAATAACCCAACATACAGAAAGATAGCAGGGGGGTCATTTAAAGTCCCAAATTGGTAGTGCCTTCAGGAGACTGGCAAAAGAAAAGGCAGATCTTGGAAGCACTGGGCTTCTCTTCAGGCTGACAGCAATTGTAAGACAGCAATTGTAAGTGATTGTGAGATTCAGCCTACCTTTAGAGATGTTGAAATGTTGAAAATGTACACCTTGAAATCAGTGATACTTCAAATGCAAATGTTGACCTATAGAGACTATACCGTTATATTTAAATTTAAGTTCTTCAACTGCCTTAGTATTCACAAGTGTCCTGTGCCTTTTAAGAATTTTTATTTTACAATTATAGGGAAGAATTGGATATCGATCTAAAGGATATTTACTACAAAATCCGATGTGTTTTGATGCCAATGCCATCACTTGGTTTTAATAGACAAGTGGTGAGAGACAATCCTGACTTTTGGGGTCCTCTTGCTGTTGTTCTTTTCTTTTCCATGATATCATTATATGGACAGTTTAGGGTAAGTATATCTTACTTTATATAAATTCTAAATATTTTAAGAGTTTTAAAATTAAAGATAGCCAAATAATTAGCAATAATACTCCATTATATTTGGGAAATGCTTTACCATTATTTGTCATTGTTCATCCCTAGAACTATTCTTTTTTTTAATGTTTTTTTATTGAATTTTTTAGAGAGAGAAGAAGGGAGAGAGATAGAAACATCAATGTGAGAGAGACATTGATTGGCTGCCTCATGCGCGCCCCCTACTGGGGATCAAGCCCATAACCTGGTCAAGTGCCCTGACTGGAATCGGCCTGGGAATCGAACCAGGACTTTTCAGTCCAAGGGATGACAATCATTCCACTGAGCCACACCAGCTGAAACTTAGTTTTAAATCCTCACTTGAGGATATTTTTCCATTTACCTTCAGATAGAGTGGGGTGGGGAGAAACATATATTGGTTGCCTCCCACATGACCCTGACCAGGGTCAGTGACTAAACTGCAACCAATGTATGTGCCCTTGATTGGAATCAAACCCCCGACTGGTCTGAGGGTCAACGCTCTAACCGCTGAGCAGCCAAACCAACCAGGACCTTAGAACTATTCTTTTTTTTATTTTTTATTTTAGAGAGAGTGGAAAGGAGAGGGAGAGAAACAAACATCGATGAGAGAGAACATTGATTGGCTGCCTCCTGCATGCCCCCCACTGGGGATTTGGACCACAACCTGGGCATGTGCCCTCACCAGGAATCAAACTGGTGACCTCTTGTGCATGGGTCGATGCTCAACCACTGGGCCACACCAGCCGGGGCTTAGAACTCTTCTTAATTAAATATGTGGACAGTACCTTAGAGTAATGCTTTCCAAACTTTTCCACATCATTATTTACATAGAAAAGATTAATATTTGTTTAGCGACTGGGGTAAATGGATGGAACTAACCCCTTCGGACAAGAAGTGACCAAAAGGGCTGCCTGTGCTCTTACTGATTTCCCCAAGGGATGAAGAGTTCAAAACACATAACTCTTGCCCTGGCCGGTTTGGCTCAGCGGTTAGAGCGTTGGCCTGCGGTCCGGAGAGACCCGGGTTCGGTTCCCACTAAAGGCACGTACCTTGGTTGCAGTTTGTCCCCGGCCCTGGTTGGGTCGTGTGGGTGGCAACCACTCGATGTGTCGCTTTCACGTCGATGTTTCTCTCTCTCTCTCTCCCTCTCACTCTATCTGAACAAAATATCAAAAAATGTCCTCGGGTGAGGATGAAAAAAAAACAAAACAAAAACAAAACACATAACTCATAATCATGTTTTTACCTTTTATTCCGGGACGTTGTCATCAAAACAACAATCACGAATCAGTCCCTCATCTTGAGATAGTTTCAGCTTTAGTCACTGGGAGCTCCTTCAGATTAGCTTTTGTGCCCTTTCAACATATTCCCATTCTTTTCTTGAGCACTTTCCTTCCTTCTGACTTTACAAGGGTTCTGGGCTTATCTTTTATTTTACCTGCCTCAGCCCTGGAAGCATTTCTCTAAGCATTCCTTTTATTATAGAATGATACTTGGAAACCAGAACCTGAGCAATAAGTATGCTTGTTTAGCTTCTGAGGTATCATTATTTCTAGACTCTTCGAGTAGAAAGAAGTTGGAAATATATGCATGTATCATTATTATTCTATGTCTCAGGAGTTAAAATCATCTGAAATGTCTTTTATTCTATTACTTGGTTTAATGTATAATTAATATAAACTTTAAAGACCTCCTGAGAAGTTTGGTAGCATGTTTCAGGGATGAATTTTCCTTGCAGGTTGGGTAAACCAAGGGGTTGGTAGTAAACCCTTTGTTCTTTTATCATAGTTCTTGAAATACTGAGGTTTCCTTAGGCAATTGATCGTTGCTAAATTTTCTAGTTGGATGTAAAATGACCACGTTGTATTCTTAAGTTTTGGAAAGATACCTTGGAACCCAAACAAACTTTCTATGACCTGAAATTGAGTATACCAAAGTATCTTATATGGTAGAGAATTGAGTTCCTAGGAACTTACCGGCTTATTTGGTACAAATATATTAATTGCATGAACTTTTTCCCTTTAGGTGGTATCATGGATTATAACTATTTGGATATTTGGTTCACTAACAATTTTCTTACTGGCCAGAGTTCTTGGTGGAGAAGTAAGTGGTTAATTTTGAAAATAGCCTTTGTTTTTTATGGTAAGCTTTATTTTTGATATTGCAGATACCATCAGTGGCTATATTTATCATAATGTTTCTTGTCCTAAAATTGCTTTAAATTATGGTACTTCCTTTAAGAGAATCAACATATTGGTATTGTACATACTCAATAATGTTATAAGAAATGAAGTGAAAGAAAAGATCCCATTCCACTCATAAGTAATTGACAGCTTTTTAGGGAAGCATACAATTTATTCTCTGCTAGAGCAATTCTCAAACATTTTTTTTTATCCTCACCCAAGGACATTTTTGCATTTATCTTCAGATAGAGCGGGAGGGAGGGAGGGAGAGAGAGAGAGAGAGAGAGAGAGAGAGAGAAACATCAATGTGAGAGAGACATACCGAGTGGTTGGCATCCAAATGACTCCAACTGGGGCCGGGGACAAACTGCATCTGAGGTACATGCCCTTAGTGGGAACCGAACCCAGGTCTCTGGTCTGCAGGCTGACGCTCTAACTGCTGAGCCAAACCAACCAGGGCCCAAAGAGATTTCTTTATGTGGGTTATATTTATCAATATTTACCATGTTATAAATTAAAATAAAATTTTATATATATTTATTTATTTAAAAAAAAAGATTCAATGGAACATAAATAATACATTTTAAAGAGAAATAACTGCAAAACAAAAAAGTTAGTGAGCCACACTTGCCAGGACCTGTAGTTTCCTCTTATTTTTGCTTTTGCTTTCTGTGGTTTCAGTTACTTGTGAGCAACCGCCATCCAAAAATATTAAATGGAAAATTCTAGAAATAATTTATAAGTTTTAAATTATTTGCCATTCTGAGTAGCATGGTGAAATCTCATGCCATCCCATGCAAGGAGTGGATTCATCCCTTTTTTTTAGTATTCATGCTGTATTCACCAGCCTGTTAGTTACTTAGTAGGGTACTAGGGTATCAGATTCAGGTATCAGAGAGAGAGAGACCACATTCATATAACTTTTTTTTTTTTATCCTCACCCGAGGACATTTTTTTGTTTTTTGTTCAGATAGAGTGGGAGGGAGAGAGAGGATGAGAGAGAGAGAGAAACATCGACATGAAAGGGACACATCGAGTGGCTGCCACCTGCACAACCCAACCAGGGTCGGGGACAAACTGCAACTGAGGTACATGCCCTTAGTGGGAACCGAACCTGGGTCTCTCTGGACCACAGGCCGACGCTCTAACCACTGAGCCAAACCGTCCAGGGCCATATAACTTTTATTACAGTACAGTATTGTTAATAATTGTTCTATTTTATTGTTATTGTTCTTAATCTCTCACTCTTATTTACAAATTAAACTTTATCGTAGTATGTATGCACAGGAAAAAACGTAACACAGTATATGATAATTTAAAATATAATGGGTGTAATATGTCATGATCTCTTCTTAATTCTCACATTTATGTAAGTATAACAAAGGATGTATAATGTTCAATAGTGATTTAAATGAGTATCTTGATTTCTATGACATTTATTTAAAAATTTACAGGTTGCATATGGCCAAGTTCTTGGAGTTATAGGATATTCATTACTTCCTCTCATTGTAATAGCCCCTCTACTTTTGGTGGTTGGATCATTTGAAGTGGTGTCTACACTTATAAAAGTAAGTAGTATGTATTATGAAAAATAATTTACTATTTTCCAGTAGCAAAAGTATAATAGTTCTGTGGCTAAGAATATTATAATTTATAAGAATATTATAATCTATGGCTAAGAATTTATCACACAATAGTATTTTGGAACAATGATCTTACTGATTTTACAAATGGTATTTCTTTTACTTTCCCTTCTTAATTATCAGAAATTATAATGTATATCTACAGGGCAATGAAGAACAGAGAGTAAATCAAGCCTCAGGATATTATACACAGAATTGTTTTTGATGTTGAATTTTTTTCTCTATGCTTATAATACTAGTTCATCTGACTTAAATTTTGTGGGAAATATTTATTTAAAAGTCCACTGAACATTTATTTAATAACTTACTCCTATTTGAATAGTAGCCTCCTTATCAAATATGATAGACATGGTTCTAATAAGTTTTTTTTTTTCTATATTGCAGAGGCAAGGACATTAGGCTGTGTTAAAATTACATTAACATATATACTCATTTTATTATTTTTAGTTTTATTTTTTGGTCAATCCTCAACTGAGTATATATATATTTTTCCATTGATTTGATATAGAATGGAGGGGACACATCGAGTGGCTGCCACCTGCACAACCCAACCAGGAACATCGATGTGAGAGAGACACATTAATGTGAGAGAGAGACATCGATTGGTTGTCTCCCACATGACCTGGGGCCAGAGGTTGAACCTGCAAACCAGGTACATGCCTTTGACTAGAATCTAATCCATGGCCCTTCGGTCCATGGGTTGATGCTCTAACCACTGAGAAAACTGGCCAAGTCAATATACCCATTTTAAATATTTACTGATAATATTAAGTATTAATAATCAGTAGTAATACAGCTTAAAATTTGGCATTTATTAATTTTGAACAACTTTGGGAAATAAATGACTGCTTTAGCACATATATGTATATTACACAGTGAATGTAATTTTTTTTCTTTATGGAAAATAGAACTTTTTAAGACCACTACTTTCAGAACTGCCATTATGTAGCCTCCACGTTAAGGTATTTGTTTTTAAGTGGTGTACCTACTTAAACCAAATTTTTATAACATTTGGTTTTATTTAAAGTTTATTACTCATTCCAGTATAAAAGAAATTATTTCATTTAGCATTGGATAACTGCAGGCTAATGCTGACCATATATAAGCATTAGGTATTAAGTAGAAGGTGGATTTTGAACCAGTCAGTTTTGATTTCAAATCCTGGTTCTGCCACTAATTTGCTGTCTGCTTTAGGGAGATACTTCTTACTCTCCTCTGCAAAATGGGAATGTTAACAACTGCTGTTTAGGATTTGTTATGAAGATTTTAAAGTATATATAATGCCTGGGATGGTGCTTGACACACATTTGGCACACAAATGGTACCTGTTATTATTACAAATGTTATAAAAGAGTATTTTGAGTTAAAAAGAAATTTTTTTTCCCTTACTGATTTTGGAGAGACAGGAAGAGAGATAGAAACATCGATGAGAGAGAACATCAACTGGCCACCTCCTGCATGCTCCCCACTAGGGATTGGGCACACAACTTGGGCATGTGTCTTGACTGGGGATTGAACTGGCGACCTCTTGGTGTATTGGTCGATGCACAACCACTGAGCCACACCTATCAGATTTGAGAACATCTTTTTATGTTTGAACACTTTTGAGACCAAGGAGATCTTTCTTTCCTCTACATTCTTTTTTTTTTTTTTTATCCTCACCAGAGGACATTTTTCCATTTTTTTGTCAGGTAGAGTGGGAGGGAGAGAGAGAAACATCGATGTGAAAGGAACACATTGTGTGGCTGCCACCCGCACAACTGACCAGGACTGTGGACAAACTGCAACCGAGGTATGCGCCCTTAGCGGGAACCGAACCCGGGTCTCTCAGGACCGCAGGCCGACGCTCTAACCACTGAGCCAAACTGGCCAGGGCTCCTCTACATTCTAATCCTAAAATATTTTAAATTGACATATTAGTACTTCGTTTAAATGTCTTGTAGTATAGACTGGCCAGTATGGCTCATTGGTTGAGCATCAACCGATGTACCAAGAGGTCACCAGTTCGATTCCCAGTCAGGGCATGTGCCCAAGTTGTGGGACCAATACCTGGTTGGGGCATGCAGGAGACAGCCATTTCATGTTCTCTCTTGTTGATGTTTCCCTCTCTTCCTCTCCCTCTAAAATCAGTAAAGAAAAAAAAAAGTCATATAGTGTAGGAGCTAGATGCATGCTGGCATTTAATTATCTAACTTTAGTGAACATACCACTTTACTGAATCATTCAGAATCACTTCTTGTGTTTTTTTTGTTTTTTTTTTTAAAACTTGGGTTAAAGCCTGTTTGAAGACTGCTGAAACTACACCCAGAATTGCTAAAACTGTGTCATCTGGTCATTTTTAGTCATCAAGTTCAACTGAAAATTGGTCCTTGCTATTCTGTATGCAACATACAAATGTATTATTATAAAATGGGAAATCTTACTTATATCATTAAAATTTTAGGATAAAATTGTTTTTAAACTTCACATTTTTCTTTGTCAAATTTGTTTTCTGATCAATATTCTGTGTGTAGTGAGCTATTGTACATGTTACTTGTTTCAGCCATAGTGTTATTGAGGAATATGCTGCAGAACTTCCATGATGTAAGTCTAGAATTAGAGTAGAGTTTAATCTACAACCACTAATTTTTTAAAAATTTAATCTCTATAACTCTTACCAAACGTTAACCATTTATTTACAACAAAAATGAAACAACATACAAGTGCAGTTTTGTTGTTGTTGTTAATCTTCATCTAAGGATATTTTTTCCATTGGTTTATAAAGAGAGTGAAAGGGAGGAAGGGAGGGGGGAGAGAGAGAAACATTGATGTAAGAGAGACATCAATTGGTTGCCTCCTGCATCCACCCCGGCCTGGGCCAGGGATAGAACCTGCAGCCCAGGTACATGCCCTTCACCGGGACAGTTTGATTATGAGTTTTCTTTTATGTATTTTTTTGTAGGCTTAAAATATTTATGTGAGTATGTGTTTTTGTTTTTGAAGTTTAGAAAGCACAGTGGAAATTTGGACTATCTCAAACACATTTTCAATTAGTCTGCTAATATTTAGTTACTTTTTACCTTTGTACCAGTGGTTCTCAACTGAGGGCCATTCCCTGGCCCCCTGGCCCAAAGGACATTTGGCAATGTTTTGAGACATTTTTGGGTGTCACAAATTATTTGGGGGTTTTACTGGTATATAATAAAGTAGGTAGAGGGTAGGGATACTGCTAAACATCCAACAATGCATAGAACAGCTTCCCACAATAATTATCCAGTCCAAAAATGTCAGTAGTACAAGGTTGAGAAACCCTGGTCTGGTGTCAAGTCTTTCTATCATACTTCCTGATTTCTATTGTTGAAGTTATTTCTTTAGTTTTATTTTGTAAAATGGCTTTAGTAACTATGGCAATAAATACTACATAAATTTCCAGTGGAAATAATTTAAGATTAGGTATGTGTACATTCAGAAAACCACAGAATATATTTTATTAAAGTCTTGACCAAAATGTTATGTTTTTTTCTCCTTTTTATTTTACCCAATACTTCCATCTATTCCTGAGGAAATGCTGGGATACTTAATAAACATTGTGTAACATTTTTATTTAATCTGTTTTTTTTTTTTCTCTTAAAGTAAAGGAAAAAATTTCTTCTATGTAAGAGTCAATTACTTTTCTTTCAGCAATCAGATTTCTTTCAGAAATTTGGCCTAGTTTTTCCAGAAGTTAACTTACCTTAAATCACCAGGGATACTTGTTAAAAGGATTAATAACTAGACCATTTCTTAGAAAGTCTGATTCATCAGAACTAGAGTGAGACTCAGGATTTACTTTTTAATAGGCACCCTGGGTGATTCTTTTAATTAGTTTGATAACAAAATACCTCATTTGCAAAAGTCAAGGAGCAGAGCAAAGACTAACATTCTTAGTAAGTTTTAATAATTCTCAATAAGTTTTACTTTTACCACAATTGGTTGTCAGGGTTGTTTTAAACAATATTATAAATATTAATTTTACTCTGTAATATGCAAAATGTTAATTGACTTGCTAATATGCTGCCCTTTGTCTTTTTTATTTGTGTTTTAAAGCTGTTTGGTGTGTTTTGGGCTGCCTACAGTGCTGCTTCATTATTAGTGGGTGAAGAATTCAAGACCAAAAAGCCTCTCCTGATTTATCCAATCTTTTTATTATACATTTATTTTTTGTCTTTATATACTGGAGTGTGATCTAAATCATATATGAGTAGAAAAAGACAATGTTACATTTGTGTGAAGGCTGGGAACTCTTGCCGAAGGGATTGAAGAATACCTGTTGCTGATAAAATTTTACATGTTCCAGATGGAAAGACAGGTTTAAGGTGTTTGTTTTTTTAAACCGTTATCTTTTTGTATTTAATTAAGCAATTATAGTTCTCTGGATTTTTTTTTTTTTTTTTTTTGGTCAGAATTCTAAATTCTGTTTTATTCTTCATATTCCAGTAAATAAAATATGAAAGCATTGTGGTTTTAAGATTGTGTTGACATTCTCCTAAAAATCTGTGCCAAAAGCACCTGGAATGGTAATTATACTTCACTTAAAGGGTAAATATGACAATATCCTGATAATCTAAAAGTGCAATTTTTTTCCTTAAAGGGTTTCTCCTGCATTGCAGATCATGTAGATATATATTTATATTTATACATATATATTTATGAAGTAATTCTTATTCACAAAATATATTTCTGAGTAGCTGAAAAATTAAGATATTTTAAACCTAAGGCTTAAACTTTCTTTAATTTGACCATTAATCTTTTTATTTATAAATTTTAATTTGTTTTTTAAAATTTATATAATTTAAAAATTCTCAAACATGCTTCAGTATGTTCTTGTTAAGAATTCTTAACAAGAACAACTAAAACTAATTTTAACATTTGTTGATGTAGATTTGATTTGTTTGGGTGCTTTTACAAACCATTTTTAAATATCTAAATATTAAAAGTTTCTGTTTATCTTTCTGACCAAAGGAGCAAAACATATAAGGGATATGACATCCAATAAAATTGTCAATATGTAGAAAAGCAGTAATATTTATAGCATCAGCAAATATTTTTAAGTGGTATTTCTAAGTCATAAAAGTTGCTCAGAAGACACCTTTAGAATCTTGTGGTCCTGAACAATGTTACATGAAGTAGAAAAAAATAAAATGCTTCCCAGCTGTGTGTTTCACTTTATAACACCTTGTCCTGTATTACTTGATATTTTAACAAGTATCAGGTATTCTAACAAATGTACAATATTTGCTAAGGGAAATAGTGAGAAATTTTAACTAGTGAAATTCTTGTTGCAAATAATTTCATAGACTCTATATGTACCTTTAATTAATATTACTTTGTAAAATAGATAAAGTATTTAAGTTCATAAAATAACGAATGACTAATAACTATTAGTGAGTTACTGTATTATTTTTTCTGTTCTGAGCTGGAAGAGTTAACTGCTGTCCTCAATATGATAACATGTCCACTTTGATATGTATTCCTTCAGCAATTTTATCCATCAGGAAATATCTAGCAACTCTATAGCTAGCCTATAAATTAGCAAGATATCAAGCCCATCTCTCTTCCTTTTACCCTCTCCCCCACCAAAAAAGAAGGAAAAAACTTACTTTAGACTGCAGGAAAAGTGTGAACCTACCTTTGAACCAGAATAATTTGGAAAATTTCATATGCTGATTTTTTTCAACATGTTTAAGAAAACAGATTGGAAGCACCAGAGGGATGGAACTTCTAGAACCTAAAATAATATGAATGAAGTGTGGCGGGATCTATAGCTATAGAAGCAGTAACTGTCAAGTAAATATTTGTCATACTGAAGGAGTTCCTGAGGGTCAATACTTTGTTACAGTGGATTATTATATTTGATGTTTGTATTGTTGACCCTGGAATCTTTTCCCCAAAGCTTGAGGGTCTATACTAGGGGAAAGAATTTTACTAAGCAATAAGTCAAGGCACTTTAGGACCAACTATATAAAAAAAAAAGGTTTAATATGTTTAAGCTATCATGTTTATTCATAATGATGTAATAAAATGGGGTATTTGTGTTCTAAAAAGGTATTTAAGAATAACAGCATTTAATCTTGGAAATTGCCCTGTTTAGAGTATATATAAATACAATTTATACTGTTTCAAGCTCAGCCAACATCTTAATGTGCTAACGAGCAAAGCAATTAGAACACATTGCCAGTTTGAAAACATGATTTGTGAATGTGTACAAGGTACAGTGCTGCTACGAATGATAATGGTAAGCTGAACATAACAACGTCTTCTCCTTGGATTTTTATATAATACTATTTTCTAAGTCATATTGATTTTAATTCATGATTTCCAACCTAACTGTTAGTTCATTAGTCATTAGTATTTCTAGAACAGAACTAGCCAGATAGTCTCTTCTAGTTTGTATGTATGTGTGTGTGTGTGTGTGTGTGTGTGTGTGTGTGTGTTTTAAATGTTATCAGCTATAGTAATCCTGATGAATGTTAATCCTCAGAATAATTGAAACATTTACTTCTATTCCAAATTGATTGTAAAATAACTGAATTTTTAATTAAAAATCAAAGTCTCTACATACTTTTCATTGTACTAAAAACAGTTTAGGAAGATCTGTGAAGTTTTATAAACCATTTCTTATTTGTAAGGTCTTACAAGACAGTTTTATATATAATACTGTGTCTTTCCAAAAATTTTCCAAATGTTAATATGCTAATATAGAGTTCTAAATTAGTGAAAATTTGCATTGACTTAAAATGAGGTTAATATTTGTGTTTAAATATTGTTTAAAATTTAGTTAGTTTCTTTTAAATTTTGATGTAATAAAACATTGAATAAAATAATGCTTCTACAAACTAATAAAAATAGACTATTTTTTATATTCAACAAAACTAATTGAATATTTTTAAATGATTGTTATTTACCTTTTACATTTTTTTTTTATCTTTACCAGAGGACTTTTTTTTTTTGCATTCATCTTCAGATAGAGTGGGAAGAAGAGAGGGAGAGAGAGAGAGAAACATTGACTGGCTGCCACCCACACAACCCCAACTGGGGCTGGGGACAAACTGCAACCAAGGTACATGTCCTTAGGGGGAACCAAACCTGGGACTCTCCAGTCCACGGGCCGACACTCTAACCGCTGAGCCAGGGCTACCTTTTACATTTTTATTAAGGCATATTTAGTTTTAGACTTTAGGGAATTGTGACATTTGTTTTGCCTTTTATTTGTTTGTTTCTTTTTGTGTGTGATAAGTTTGTTAAAATATCTTACTTCCATACAGTTCTCTTTTTTTGGTAGTTGAACAAGTTGCATTTATTATTTTGTTCTTTGCAACAAAGGAGAACAACACACATCAATGAGAGCCATAGGGTGTCTGAGTGTTAAAAATGATCTATTAGGGATTTAGGCTTGTGTTAATACAATTCTTTCTGATTGCATGGCATGGCAGTCTGAAGTAAGTCTTAACAGAGCTAAAAATCACCCTCAGCAATTCTGATATTTTAGTCACATAAACAAAATAATGGTGATTTACTATCCTCTTTCATAGTTGGGTTCTTTAATTGAATCCTTGTATTACATCTTACCTTGTACTACATTTTAATTTCCCTTCAGAAACTGAATTATAAGTGCTCTTTTCCTCATTTGTATAATTTCCTGGCAGTAGTTTGTGTGTTTGAGAATCTGCTGCCACTTTTTTTTTTTTGTATGTGTCCCTAGTGGGAGCTGAACCCAGGACTCTCTGGTCTGCAGGCCGACGCTCCAACTACTGAGCCAAACTGGCCAGGGCTGCCACTTTTTTTCTTAAACTTCACCCGAGGATATTTTTTCATTGATTTTTTTAGATAGAGTGGGAGGGAGGGAGGTAGAGAAGCAAACATCCATGTGAGAGAGACACAGCAATTGGCTCCCTCCTGCATGTACCCTCATACGGGGCTGGAGATGAACCTGCAACCCAGGTATGTGACCTTGACTGGGAATCAAACCTTCCGCCTGCACAACCAGGACGATGCTCTAACCAGTGAGCCACACCAGGCAGAGCAAGAGAGAACGTGTGTGTGTGTGTGTGTGTGTGTGTGTGTGTGTGTGTGTGTGTTTACTGATTTCAGAGAGGGAGGGAGAGAGACATTGAAATATGGATGAGAAACATTGATTGGCTGCCTCCTACATGCCCCCTACTGGAGATTGAGCCCACACCTAGGCATGTGCCCTGATCAGGAATTGAACTGGCAACCTTCTGGTGCACTGGATCACGCTCAGCCAACTGAGCCACACTGGCTGGGCAAGAGAGAACATTTTTAAAGTATAAAGCCGTGTGGAAGAAGTGATGGAATTAGAAAATCATTTGGCAACCATAGTAATAATTATGGATGTTAAAACTAGTGGATGAAAGTTTGAGGAATAACAATAACAAGATACCTATTAAGTACGTAGGGTAAATTAAGAACTTGACAGTGGTGAAACCTGGCCAATACTACCTTAATCAATGTCAAAAATAGCATCTCTGCCCTGGTCAGTTTTGCTCAGCGATTAGAGCAACAGCCTGCTGACCAGTGAGTCTTGGGTACGATTCCGATCAAGGGCACGTACCTTGGTTGTAATGCAGGAGGCAACTTGTCCATGTGTCTTTCTCACATTGATGTCCCCCTCCCCATCCCTCTTCCTCCCTCCCTCCCACTCTATCTGATGATAAATGGGAAAATGTCCTTGGGTGAGGATTTAAAAATATATATATCACTAGTGGGAAAAATCAATATTATATGCCTCCTGAAGCATCACTCCTGTGGTCTTTTTGCCAAAGAATACCTTCAATGTGGTGGTTTCACAGGTGTATGAATATATGTAAACTTGTCAAATTGTATACATTAGATATATGCAGTTTTTTGTATATCAATAACGTGAAAGATTTTAAACATTTAAACATATGCAAAAGAGCTTAGAATGTGTCTGACACACAATAAGGAGTGTATGTGTGTTTGCTGTTACTATAAGAACATCTGAGAAACCTAGGTGATGTGAATTTATAAGAAGGTGAGAGTAAAGAACATGAAGGTAAGTGACATATTCTTTAGATTACCCAAGTCCCAGGACTTAAGTGTCTAATGTATCCTGAATTGTTTTTTAACTTGGAAAAAAATTTAAAAGCATATGATCTTTAAGTGGAAAGTAAAAAAATAGCCTTTTATTTGAAAAGAATGGAAAGATTTTGTAGGCAGATCATAAGCACACCATCTGGTTAACTGAAGAGAAATCCTAAGAGCTTAGATTTCACATTTTTATCTGCCATGTCTGATTTAAGATAGACCTCCTTAAGCTAAAAATATCAAGTCCTATTTGTTCTGCTATTTATGAGTTATTTGAAAATGCCACTCAACTGCAGTGCTAAATACCCCATTTTTATTTTCTGAGAATTAGAATCCATTGTGGTTTATATTTCTGAAGTTCAAATGTTCGACGGTGTGCAAGACAAATTCATGACATGAAAAATAGGCAAGGTTGGCACAGTAGTAGTATCTCTAAAATTAACTTCTAATTTAAAAAAATAAGATTCTTATTTTTAAATGATTATTAACTAGGGACGTGACTGCCCCCAGGGGATATTTTGCAAAGTATGGAGATATTTTTGGTTGTCACTACTGGGAGTGGGGGGAGGGGAGAGCATGTTACTGGCATCTAGTGATAGAAACCAAGGATGCTGCTAAATATTCTAGAATGCACAGGCAGCCCTTCCCCTGAACCCCCCCCCCCCACACACACACACACAACAAAGAATTATCCAAAATGTCAGTAGTGTCAATGTTGAGAAATCCTGCACTAAATGAAAACATTTTCTAAAATTTTAAGCAGTTCCAGTGCTGTTAGGGATGGAATAATACTAGTCCTGTCTTGATATAGAATATTACCAGGTAGCCTAGTGCTCATACATAATATATATTCAGTATATATTTGTTTAATTTCAAAATTTTGTACTGCTCTTATTCTATGAGTATATGGTTTTACCTTCATTTATATATGCACTAAAACAACCAGAATTTCATTAGTACCTGCCTCATTAAGTATTCCATCCTCATCTCAAAATATAGAGAATTTTTTATACAAAATTAGAGATAAACTAGGTTACAGAAAAGTGGAAAACTAATATTCACTAGAGGTTGACTAGAAAAGAACCAATTTT